CTGAAATGGTCCCTCTTTGCTTCCCAAATTATTTAAGAGCAATAAATATGCTTGTCAGCTGATGTGTCCTCTAACCGCTTTGAGACAGATTTTAAAGGGCTGCTTTATTTCTCCCCCCCCCTCATTCCTGGCAAATGCACAAATATCTAACTGAAGTCACATTACTTAAATAGAAACTAATAGAAGAGCTGGTTGTACAAGTAGTTCAGGATCTGGTCACAAATATGCACTAAGCTGCTCGTCCTCCTGGGGTGAAATTCACCTTGGACAGAGACAAGAATTGCACCTTGTTAGCTCAAAAAAAAGGTAACTATCCTTGTATTTTAGTCAATCCAGCTGTAGAGTGAAGTGGGAAGGCAGAAGAGGGATGTCAAGAGTGCTGGCCTGGTAGCTTGGCGGCTATTTATTGCAAAAGAGAATTATCGTAAAATAAGATGAAAATATTTTGGTTTTATATTAAGTTATTCTAAAGTGAATCATAGTCTCTGAACCAGTAAATGGTGGAGAAAAGTGTTTAAAAAGGAAAACTATTAATGAAAACATTATTATTTTTGTCTCTTCTGGAAGCGTATCATGCCAGTTGCAGTAGTAAACATACCTCCTTTGAATCACTGGAGATGAAAAACAGCCATATACTTGAGCTTAGGTGGTTCATATGGGTTTATAACTGTTTTGTATCTTTTGAGCATTCAGGAAAATCCGGCCCACAGACTTTTTAAACTATGATTCTGGCTACAGAGGCACCACACATTCTTTTCTGCTTTTAATAAGTCTCTCTCTTTGTGCAACAAATCGTTCTAAAAAACTGTACCAGCCGTGCTAACCAATGGGTAGCAGCTAGAGGCCGGGGGGAGAGGAATTGCTTTGGCTGGACAGAGACTAAGGGATTTGTACACCCAAATTTCTATTGTTTTTAATAGGAATTTGGCTTCAAAAAATCTTAGCCCTCATATGTATTCAGTCTCATAACAACTGGAGGTCTCTTAAGTGCGCATTCCTATCTTGCTGGATCAAATCCTCCACTGGCTGGTGCACCAGCTGGGGGAAGGCAGGTACGCTGCTGTGCACATCCTCTGGTGACTCTCCTCCCTTGTCAGGTGCACTTTGCTGCTTTTTTGATCGAGAGCACCTACCATCTGCTGGCTGGAGCTTACAGCTGAAGGAAGGAGGAACCTGTACCCCACCAGGAGTGCAGAGGTTACTTAATAATCTTAAGAAGGTTTACTATGTTATAATGTGGATTAGTTTTTCTCATTATTCCAGTGGCTTTTCAGAAGATTAGGAGAGACTTTATGAAAATACAGGGCACTTGTTCATTCTACCTTTATTCCATATGCTCCGGCATACTGTCATTCTGATTCTGCCATGCAAATAGATGAAGGAAACAGGAAATTAATTAAAAAAAAATAATCCTTGAATAACAACATGAGTTGATTATCTCATTTCAGTTCAGATGGGAAACCTGAATGAAAACCTGGAAGCTTAAGTATATAACAAGAGGATGCTAACAACCTATATGATTATTGAGAACTCTGTAATTTAGGATTATTTACAAGAGGGCTAAGTATTATTGTTACTTTATTGTATTCACTTCATCAGTGGCTTATAAGTAAAGAACATAGTAAGGTGGTTGCAGGTGAGTTGCATTTTCACTACTTTTTCAAGTGACTAATTTGTACAGAAGAGGACTAGCTATACAGGGGCAGCATTCACTACTGTATGTGCTGATGGAAAAATTGCAAAGGAATAGATTCCTGAGCAGAGCTCTAGCGGTGGTGCCGTTAGATTAACATATGTTCAGTGTAAGTTTGTTAATGTGGAGAGGATGTCAAAGAAATGAAAAACTCTGAAACCTTGATCAAGGCATCAAGACAACGGGACACATCATTTTGACACAGGAATTTTTATGGATTGTATGGGACTGGCTGTACTCCAGAGTTAGTTCCAGGCCGAAATGTAATTCCATTCTATATCTTCCTTCGTGTTAGAAACCTGAGTAGCGAGTGGTTATTACACTGAACTGTATTACGTGCGCTATTTAAGCACACTGAGTACAGTACATGATTACAACTCTATTTTTAAGTACACTTCTTTTTAATGTGTTTTTACTTAGAATGGCTCTGTAGGTTAATGTTGGACTCAATCCGTACACACAGTGCACGTGGTTCTAGAGGGAAGTTGTATTATCTGCCAGTCCTGAGCATAACGAAGAGGGGAAGAGCTCTCCAAACTGTATGAAAATAATATATGAACAGGCATGGTATTTTTGTTTCCTGCCCATTGCAGCTGCTGCTTTCATCCCAAGAAAATAAGTGCTTAGTGCAGAGGTGATGGCTGAAATTCTCCACCTGTTCCCATAGATATGCAGCTTTCTGGCAGCATAGCACAATTCTTTGTGCAGGCAGTTCAACCACCAGAGTTAGTGGGCTAGATTAATGGGAGGAATTATGTTTAAATGCCTCTTTAGAGCTTAAGGATGTCTCTAGGTGTCACTGGCATTCCTCTGCCTTCCCACCTACCTTCTCTCTCCCTGTGCCAATACTTTCTGGGCTAGTTTCTGCTAGTGGAATTCCCACAGAACCCATCAGTCTGTTCCTGAGTTTGTGCCACCTGCCTGAGTCCTGACCACATCAATCCTTGGGTCTGTAGCCCACATCTTAAAACTGAGAGAAAGCTGTTCTCATCCCCTTTCTTTCCTGTCTCACCTGTGGTTACAGAAAAGTGTGTACAGAATATGTACAATTTAATGAGAAAAAGGCCTGGTTTGTGGTGGTGAATCACCCATTCATTAAGGTTCTTACCTTTTAGACATGAAATTTTGATTCAGATCTTTTGTCTGTTTTGGTGGATGAAAAAATCTTTTGCCCAGGAGAATGCTGTAATGCTAGCCAGGGTTGGGGTTTTTGTACATGGCGCCCTTCTACTGATGTTCCTGCTGTATTTTCCCTATGCAGTATTCAGAGGGTGAAAAAAAGAATGATTTCTGGAAAATCCAATTTAGGACATTACTACAGAGGAAGGAGAGGAAGTTCTATCCATGGAGAACAGTAGGCATCTAGAATGTGGAAGAGTTTTTCTAAAAGGAAGAAAATAAAAAGGTGTGTGTGTGGGGGACACACACATGGGACAGGACAGCGGGAACCCACTGTGGCAGTTGGTGGCTGACATTCTGCTGCAGGATGGTAGGTTAAAATCTCTCAACAGAGAAGAATAGGAAACCAAGGCTAGGATTGACATTTGGGTTATGGAGTACAGTCTCCAAGGCAGTTTGTAAGAGCGTGTGTGCATGTCTCTGTGTGTGTGATCTTACACTGCACTTGTCTTTGTGTTTCCTACTGGCCAGCTTAAGTAGATTCCTGCCTAGTTTGCTGCTGTTTGCCTACCCCATTTCAGTCTGCCTGAGGCCTCTGATTGATTTATGTGTTGCTGCCAGCTTGAGACAGCTAATGTGGTTATCACCTCTAGCTGTTTACCCCACCCTTAAAGTGCTAAATAACTCCAGTGGTTCAGCAGCTGGTTTATGAGCAGCTCAAATATCAGTGCAGGGAGGGTGAGGGGGACACTTGGGGACAGTAACCTCATCAGCTGTCAGAGGCTGAGCCATCTCTTCTTGTCCATTCGAACTTGTCTCCCCTTACATGGCACAGCCCAGGTACAAGGCAGAGCTTCTATGTCCAGCTGCCCTTCTGAATCTAGCTTAGATGCACGAGAATTATATTTTATAGTGATGAATGTAGCCTGTCTAGTACAGTTTTCTGAATTAAATGCCTAAAATCCGTGCATAATGAGAAACCTCATTTGACAGATGCTAAATTGGGAAGCACTGTTAAGACTGGGGAAGCCTGTTCTGAGTATACCTGGAAGTGGGTACCTCAGGAATGTCACTTGGAAATGAAGCCATCAGAGGTTGGGATTCAGTTAGCTAAATATGTCTCTATTTATAAACATAAGGAGAGAAATGGACTCTCTTTCATGATACAGAGCATCTCTGGAAAGGGATGTCTCGAACAGGCCAGAAGAAGTGTGGCCTGACACGGCCTGTTTCTCTCCATTGCCTGTCAGGAGCCAAGGGGGCTGCCTCAGCTGCAGGCGTTATATACCAGACCCCCAAAGTGAGATGAGCTGAATCTCTCCTGTAGGGACTGGAACTGAGCTAAGCAGAAGCCTATCTGGAGATTCAGTGGGTCAAAATTTGGGTTTAGGCCCTCTGTCCAGGCACAGTTCCTTTGCAGATCCAGGCCTTCATGCCTTGCACCTTGGGGAAAGGCATAACGTTCCTGAGAGTGGGGATTACTTGCAGCAGCATGGGTTTGTCTTCCCAGTGTCTCAGGGGAGATGGAGGACCACAGAGGGGTGTAGGGTCTGTTCGAAGTGTTTGCATCTCAGAGTGTAGAGCCTCTGCTGCCTCCTTTTGCCATACAACGAGGCATTAGGACGTGGCTCTTGAACATGAGTGCGGGTCCTGTCCCTCTGCTCCCTGTTTCCCCTCTACATTTTGAGTACTGCATGATGTGAAGCATATTCTGGTCTCCTAATTGGGGATCCTGGTGTGTACCTTCCTGTCCTGTCTTTGCAGCTGCCTCCAGCTTATACAGAAAATGAAATGGTTCCTCTTAAGCACCTAAGTAAAAGTTAGATTTCTCTAAGTGCTGACTTACTCCCCAGTGTTTTTTTTTGCGTGGTGTGTGTCTAGGGTCACTTGGCTTAGGGTTCTCGGCTCAGTGTTATGATTTAGAGAGAGAAGAGAAACTTCTGGGTAGAGATGACAACAATATCAATTGCTCTACGTTTCTGGGAAATGTCTAGCTGATATAAACTGTGAAAAAAAAATCTGCTGCGGAAAGTTATTTGTAAATGAGTTTACGTAGCTGAGGGGAAACTCAAGTTTCCTTTTTCTGTCCATGTTGGAATTACAAAGGTAGATGCATGCAAATATTTTTTTTTTCCTTGAAACTTGTATCTAGTTATTTTCCATTTCTTTCTCTTTTTCTTGTTTGCAGATTATATAACAGCTCTCAAGAGGAAGCTGCTAACAAGCCCATCTGATATTCTGTGCCAGCTTTTTTAGTGGAGGCGTGCTGCATTAGACTGAGCTCCACCCTGTTTGTCGAGGTATATTATACGAGTAACACCATAAAATATGGTTCAATCAGAATGATAGCCTACTTAACCTCTTGGCACTCTTTTCATTAATTTCTTCTTGGATCAATTATTATGTTTTGTCTGTCACAGAGCTGGGCTGAAAACTCCTCTGGGCATGGAATGTGTCATTCATTTAAACAACATCAAGGCACACTGTTCATGTCTAATTATTACTTTAATGCAAGTGCTAAACTGTTTTCAGTCACATCTAACAAACATGTTTTCTGGGACTGGTTGCTGCCTGACCTCAAGTAAGGGCAAGTTAGGCTAAGCCTTGAAATGCTGCATCAAGCTGTCACCTCAAATAGGAGTGATCTCACTCATCCTCACGTGAACTATTATATAGATGAACTGATGGAAGCAGGATATATTAACTGCCCACCAGAAAGGACATTGCAGTATGCTGATTTATGATGAGTAAATTCTAGAGTAATCCTATTGATGGTGCTTAAAAACATCTGTTCACAATGTTGCAGTAGCTAAGCTAGCAATATTGTGTAGTAGATGAAAGCCACCTGTTGATGAAGTCTTTTAAAATATAGATATAAAAATATTTCTGTTGGTACTGTTGCATCAGTTCTTTTTCAGGATATCCATTATGGCATGACACGTTCATTTGGAAATGGTCGGAATATTTATCGGCTCAGTTCCAGCAGAATGTGAGCATGTGATCAATGCTCTTGCTTTCATTTGCTCAAAAAGCCAGTTTGGTGCAATGTTTAGAAGTGAATGCCATGCTAAGGTCACTTTAATGCCAGAGATAAAAAAAAAAATCTAAGTAGAATTTTTTTTTCAGGATAAGGTGCATGTAGAAAGCAAGGTCTAAAGCTGTGTCCATTTGAGAGATCAGTCTGAAAGATTAAGGGCGGAAAACGCCACGATACCTAATGCCTTGGTAGGGGTAGGATTTACTGGCTTTTGATGTATTCCAAATAAATTACATTCTGAGGAATGAATTTTGGGACATCCACAATCACTTCATAAAGCTGACGTGTTCCTATTTTAAACTGACTCAGAGGGCATGTCCACTTCACTTGACCTACGATTCAGCCTGATCTCATCATTACTCTGTATTAGCAGTTGACTAACATAATGACAACACTTACATAAAGATGCAGACCTGACTTAAAACTTCCTACAGGCATGATCCTAAGGCTTGAGAGTTTTGTTTGTTTCTATGTAACATGTGTTGGGAAAACTCATTGTATCTGGCAGTAGATTTGCTTTAGCATCTGAGACCAAACTTTCCCGGGTTTTCCTTTTTCTCTTCCTTCCTGCCTGTCTTTCCTGTTTCTTCACTGAGCCACCTTGCAGTCATTGCTGATACTCATCACTATTCTTTCTTCCTGCTGGTGATGGTGGGAGCAGCCAGCAGGGCTTGGCTTGACAAGTACCAAATGAAGCTTATATGTGCCAGAGACGTCTGCCTGTGTTAGTGACAGCTTACCAGATATTGTACCATGATCTTTTGAAAGAGGACTAGTAAGTGTGAATGGCTGCGAAACCAGTTGTCTTTTGCTGCTCGTAATGTAGATCTGTTAAGAGTTTTAAAATTTCAGCTTAACTTTTGAGTTTGAAGAAAGCTTTCTTTGTAAATTTCCTGGCCTAGAGTGCTCTTGCTTCATGCTCTTGCCACGGTACTCTGTTGGTTTGTCCTGGTTCGAAGGAATAAATCCTGTTTTAAATTTCCTTGGTTTCTTATAACAAAGGGCTCTGGAGGAAAGAAAATCTTTTAATCCTCCCAGCAATAACCTGACATGACCTTCTAAACACACTATTAACTCAAAAATATTAGCAATATTTTGTAGCTGTCTTAAGAAGAGCTTACAATAGAGATGGACCAAATATTTAGAAGAATAATTATACTTGGGTCTGGGGAAATTAGTATCCACAGCACAATTACATGTTTAAAAAGGTCTAAATGTTAAAAACTATTTAAAAAGCTGTGCAGTGGGGTATTGTTCAGTAGCACTGGCAGAGCACAGCCAGTTTTCTGCATGCTCTTTCTAGGCTTGTGTTTTCCTGACTGCTCTAGCACAAATCACTTGCCTTCTCTGTGTTCTTTAGTTACTCCAATCTGTTTTGCCTTTCCTTCATAAGTGCTAAGCTTTTAGAAGATGTTCAGAGCTTTTTTTTTTTTTTAATATGTGCAATATGAGATATTTCTTAGAAAATTTGCAGGAGGAGAGAGTTTTCTGCAAATCTGGTCTCTCTGCTGCTGCCAGCAATTGCACACAGCTTAAATGTCTAATAGGAGTTTTGTAAAAATTGCATACTGTTGCACTAATATAAGTACATTAACCTAACTCATTTGAAAGGAAACTCAAGGCACTAAAGCATTACAAAGGTAGCAACTTAAAATTAGGTATCCAGCTCTCTACTATGATTGGGGGCAAAGAGAGATACCATAACATGGGATGCATAGTAGAGAAATTCAGAGAAAAGTCAGTAGGAAAAGCTAAAGAAAAGAAATTCAAGCTTTCTTTCTGTCACCTGAGCTAAGACACCTGAGAAGGCTGAGGCCTTCTTCAGTGCCCAGCTGGCAGTGTGTGCTTTCCCCTCTCCTGTAGGGGTTTGAGAGATCCCCTCCATCCTTTGTTTTCAGCCACAGCAGATACAGTCATGTAACTCTACTCCTTGGAGACACCTTACCTAACATGCTAAGAGGTCATTTAGAGGAAAGTATGGCAGGGACACATCTCTGCCCCACTGACACTATCAACTTTGCAAGAAAGACCACTGGGATCTTACCATCCTGATTATTCCCCCTTAGCCCCAGTAACTACCATGTGCAAGGGCCTCACAGGTTGCTAATGCAGGGAGGAGATTGTGGTAACTGTCATGTCTGTCCCTGATACAGTCCTATTTCATTAAAATGATATTCCATTAGTTTTAATTTCTATGAACACCCTCAAGTGTTTCTTTGTTCAGTTCTAAGTGCTCCAGCAGCCAGCACTTTGCCCAAAAAGCTTTCTGCTTTTCTTTGAGGGCCATACTGTTGTCTTCACTAGCCTCTGTGGACCCATCTCTGGACCGTTTTCTTGTGCTCCTGCATGTTTTTTGCTTCTGACAAGAAGTAGTTGTTATAAAAAGCAAAGTTCAACTCCCACTTCTGCATTTGACTCTGGGGAGGATCCCTCAGGATGCATGGCCCAGCTCCTCCTCCAGTCTTGTCATGCTGATTCGTGATTTAGCCTGTAGCTTCTATTGTTATGTTTATTGTTAAACAAAAGGAGTATTTGCTTAATCCCTTGGTTAGGCTGAGTAGAAGATAGTTATGTCTACCAGCTTCCATGAGCTTTGTGGCTGTCCGCTGATCAGAAGGCTTGCTTGTCAAGCACCACCTCCTCTCCAGCAAGGAAGTATGCAAGGAGCTTTATGGCCTGGCAAATTCAGTAATTTTCTCCAAGGCCGTATGGCTCTTATATTATCCATGGCTTCTAACGGGCTGCATATTCCTCACTGATTTAGTGGTTGACTTGTGATGTTTTTGGATGAGTCAAATCTCTGTAATAGTGACACTACATCTATGTATGTGGTAAATGTGAAAGAAAACAGATGTCCAGAAAAAAATCACTGAGTCTGATTTGGAATGGTGAACAGTATTATGATTAATCATAGCTGTACAGCTAATATGTAGTATCTCTAAGATAGATTGGGGTGATAGGATGGGGTGAGAATTGCTGGTTTCATACCTATATGACTTTTACCTTAATATTTGGATTTCTTTTTAAACTTAGCCCGAAGTGCTCTAGAGTTAAGTATAGGACTATTTATTTGGGGAATCATAGAATCATAGAATGGTTAGAGTTGGAAGGGACCTTAGAGATCATTGAGTTCCAACCCCCTGCCATGGGCAGGGACACCTCCACTAGAGCAGGTTGCTCAAGACTGGGAGTAATGGTACAAACACTACTGTGTTTTAAAACTTTTAGCACAGTCTCACAACCTTAAATTTATTTCAACATTGATTTTTTTTCTAGCAATATCTGCACTGTGGTCATATGTAAAAGGCAACAAACAGTACCCACTGAGTAAGTGACATCTAGAAATGTGGAAAGAGGGCATAGCAGTTGTTCCCCAATAGGTTTCTTCCAATACAATGTAAATTTATTTGGTGCTGTTCTTATAAGGGGTCTCAGACCAAAGCTGAAACATTTGCTGAATGCTAGATTAAGGACAGAATCCTAATCCAGACTTAATCAGACAGTCTGAAGCACAGAGTTTCAAAATTCCTGAGATCAGAAGGCAAAGAATTTCACAAATAAGTATCAGCCAAGTGCTATTCCTTTAAGACTGGAGGTTGAATAATGAAAAAGCAGTGGCAGAAAGTAATAGCTGAATAAGAAAAATGAAGGGTCTGACCCTATGACCTGGCTTTAAGGTCATGAACAGGATCTTACAAAATCAACACAAATTCATTACTGGAAGAAGCCAGAATAAAGTCTTCAACACAGGGCATGTGTGATGAGTCAAATCTGGTCAAGTGGTGTATACGTGCAAAATTCTGAATAAACTGGAGTCTGCTAATCAAATTAACAGACACTGAAGGGAGAGTTTCCATAATGAAGCCTGTAATTTCCTGGAGAGACTTCTCTTGATATGCTAACCATGGTTTGGACAAATCACAAAACTAAAGAATCTTTTTTTTTTTTTTTTTTTTTTTGCAGGGCTTTGTGTGCCCTCTAACAGGATTTTGGGAGATGCACAGTCTGCAGCGCAGACATATTCTTTTGTTGACTTAACTGCTTTGGTGTCAGGATTGAGGAACTGTCATGCTCTGCAGAACCTTCTTAAGTCCTTGTCCTCTGGCTTAAATAAAGACTATAGAACGTTCTAAATGCAGTAACAAAGATCTTTCTCAGAAATACATAAGATGTAAGTTGGTAAATGGACACTGAGCGTAGGTGTTAGATATTTTTCATTTTTTTGTACTAGTTTTTGAAAGATGGTATTTCTCAGAATAATATGAGAAGGCTTGGAACACTGATTTATTCCTGTTGGAAGATCATTCTGCAAATGACACCAAATTGCAGTAATTTAGAAATCTTGAGGTTCTTTCTATATTTGGATTTGTACATTCAGCAAGCTTTTAGTGCAAATATATGAATCTTTGGTAATTACTTTAATTCATGAATAGAACTTTAACTGAGCTGAATACATGAATGTACCTTACAGTGTTCAGGCTTTGTGAGACATTTCTGCTAAATCGGCTTATGAATTTCCTTTTGATGAGCTTAATTGTTGACAGATTTTTCAAAAGCCAACAACAGCTTGCTTTGCTAGCTAGTGTTCACATGAACTGGAGAGTCTTGTGAAGTCCTTTATTAAATATTATTTGCGTAATATTTTGCTTCTACTGTAAGATGAAGTGAAATCCTTTGTACTGAACCTAACAATGTTAGACATTGTAAAGACATCAATAAAAATAAAATAAAAAGAGAAAATCACCCTCCTAGCTTATTCTTCAAGATCTCAGAATATGCAAAGCTAGAAAAAATAGGTAATTTTTCTTTTTTTTTTTTTTTCAAAGGTCTATTTAGAAAAAGGTCCTAAATAATGAGATGCGTTCTCTTACTCAAGATATTTTGCGGTTTTCTTCAACAGAGCTGTAACTAGGCTTTTTGTTTGAGAACCCTCAAGTCAGAATGCATAGCAAATGCTAATATATTAATTAAATCAACAAAACAAACAAGCCATTTTGTCCTTTCATGTGAAACAGACAAATTCTGCATCTTACCTATCCAGAACTTTTTGTTGTTAGTGGTAGTATTTTACAATTTCTCTCCTTGAATACTATTTCCTGGGAGTATAGGTTGTAAGAGAATGAAATGGAAGCTAAGCAGTGGGATCTCTAGCCATAATGATGGTTGTGGATATGTGAGTGAAGTGAAGCATGTAGAAGCCTCGAAAATAACTGACCCTGTTTTCCTCCAAACATTTCTGAAGAATTCTGGTCCGTTAATAATGCCTTAAAAGTAATAAAGACTGGGATCTGCCGATTCTAGCCAAATGAGGCTATGTCCTACAGTCCTTGCTTTGTCTTACTGGAGTAAATTTCCCATTTGCTCATGACAGGATGGGGACTAAGGACTGAGTAAGGGTGGAACTATGGGAATTGGTTTGTCACCTCCGAGAGTGCGTTTGCAAACTGCTGGAACCACAAATGAGCTCAGTGTTTAGCAAGATGGTGGATGCCAGCAGGAAGCTTGGAAGTGCCAATTTTAATTAAAAACTGCATTTTCAAATCAAGTTCCTAGTTAACAATGGGTGGGAAATTCTTCCCACCATGTAAGCTTTCTGAATGCTGTATTGACTGGCAAGATGGGTGCAGCTTCTCCTTCCACAAAAGTGCTGCTACCATCATCTTCCCCTTCACCTCCCCCCACCAGAAGAAAAAGACTACATTGTTTGTGGAATCTCTCTCTCATCCTGTTCATGCCCTGCATTTAGGCCAGAATAGACAGATTTTATTTTGTCCTCCCCATCCCCCTTTCTTCATTGTTAACAACAGAGTGAACACATGAGATTAACATGGCTCCTGACATGGCTCAGTTGTTTGCCATTTGGAAACTACCGATTCTTCAGTTGTATAATTGTAAAAAAAAAAAAAAAAAGTATCAAAAGATTTAGTCATTTTTTGTTTCTTCCAAAGATGGGGAGAACAGAGTAGTAGGGGAGAGATGGGGGAAGCCAACAACAAAAAACAAATTAGTTTAAGAACCAGCATGTTCCCCTTACTTTAAGGAACACAGTAAACATTTCAAAAGTGCGTGCCAGCTCATTATCTAACTCAGTTTTCATTGACTTCATGAAAAACAGCAGCAGTTAAGCAATGTTTGCCAAAAGCAAATTTGGGTACATGCATTGCTAAAAAAATGTGACATCCGCTCTGTACAGGTTCCTTAATCTGCCGCACAGGGGCAAATCAACATTTCATCATTATCATTTCTCTCTGTTGTTTAGCCCTTTCATGATTGCTCTTCTAGTCTGTTTTGATCATTGTTTATCCAAAACTGTGGTATGACGTATGATTTGAATTGTCCAGAAATGAACCTCTCCAAGTGTTTAAAGATGTAGAGACAACTTCAGTAATATAATCTTGAATGTAGTATCTGTTTGCAAGTATCTTTTTTACAAAGTTTATTGTTTAAAAAAAATATTAAATGGATGTGGGCTATTTCTGAATTCCTTCTTTACGTAAGTTTTAACATTTAGTTTGTCATAAATTTCACGGGTTTTTTTTGATCAACATTCTTTTGTAATTTATGAATAATAGAGGTATCCTTCTTTTTCAATCAATTTGGTGTGGCGTTTGCAGTTTGCAGTTGTGGTCATCATTTATTGTGATAACAAATGATATAGGAGATTCCCTATCTATAAGTTACCCATTCTTTGGGAGACTTATACCTCTGTATATCCAAAACTTGTCCACAGGTTGCAAGAGATATTTTGAATCCTATTGAACTTGATTTCCTTTGAGAGTAACTCTTTACTCAAGAGAAATGCAAGCATCTGTTGAACAATTGTTTTGTTAAATAGCTTAAAGAACACTTCCCTTTGGAAACCATGCAGGCTTTTTCCCATGTTTCTCATGTTGTCTGGTGTGCACGTTTGAGTCCTGTGGGCATTGATTTCTCTCATCTTAAGTCTATTGCTTTAAAATTAACAGGCCATTTCCATAAGCTTTATTTCACTTTGGAATCTGCATACTCTTCTGCCATATGTTTAAAATTCAGAGTTAGTGTGCAGTTCTGATCATTAGTTATTCTATTCCACATACAGTACATCATCGTCTTACCTTTTATGAGCAAAGGGTCTTGGAAAAATCTTGTTTACTTGTTTTTTAAATATACAATTTCTGATTTTTTTTTTTTAAACCCTTTGGTTCAGAATTTTTTAATGACATGGGGAATTCTGTTGGTAGAAAACAATGCCACTTTCTTATGGTTTTTGAAACATTTATCTCATTTTCCTTCGGGGAAAAATAAAACAGCTGGTAAAATTTGGATTTCAAAATGGAAAAAAACTTTGTTTAAATAAACATCTATTTAACATTTTATCAAAATCTGGAAAATGCTGGCAAAATTTAAATCTCCTCATCTTCCCTAATTCTCCCCTTCTTCAAAGATTCCCTTTGTTACTGTTGAAATTGTAAATCCTCATGAGAACCAGGTGACAGAATGCAGATTTTCTTTTTTCTCTCTTTTTTTATTTTAAGGTAGTTGTGTCCAAACCAGAGTATATCAATATGTTCCAGTATTTATTTCAGGCTTTTCTTTGTTGTTAAGTAAAGATTGCTTCACTCCCATGGCGTGGTTACTTTAGTCAACGCAGTACAATCTGGAAAGTACACTGACATGGAAAATCAAAGTGTTAGACTTTGAAAGCAGTTTTTAAACAGCAGTAGAAAGGACATTGGCATTGTCATTTAAAGTAACTGGATCTTAACTATTAGCGTTGATCAGGGAAATGTCAGAGGAAGAGCATAAGGGGAGCAATACACGCTTGTGCCAAAGGTCCCAACACCTTGTTCCTGATAGCAGCCAGCAGAAGATGCTTATGGAGAAGTATAAGAAGCAGGGCAAGAACAGAGTGATTCTTCCTGCTTGTATACTTTCCCAGCTTCTGACAGTCAGCAGTTTTGGGACTCCCTGTGCTGAAGTTGCATCTTAAGCATTGTTTTTATGAACCACTGAGTGCGGAAGCAACAATAGGAACAATGGATCACTGTTCAGCATCAGTGGCAACTGCACTTAGAAATAAGTAACAGTGCCACTTCAAAACGCTTGACATGGACAACAGAGACAGAAGAGCCAGGAAATTATGGCAGTACTAAAGCCACACCCATGGCCAGAGGCAACATCTCACAGCTCCTCCAAGTTGTGAACTCCTCGGGAGCTGAGAATCCCTACCATGCAGAGAGGTAGGAGCCAAACTCACCATTATATAATGCAGCAACTTCTGCCCCTGTGGGATCTTAATGGGACGTGGTGTCTTGTTCTTCAACGTAGGGGTTCCTGCGTGTGTGTTCCTGCTGAGATTTTTGTTTGGTGAGAGTTGGGCGACCTTGCCTCATACCAACACATGATGCTACCAGTCAGCTGATCTCTGGTGGTTAAGACTTCCACATTCTCTCAGAGTTAGTGCCTCTTTCTCTAGTTCCCATTTAAGCATCTGCCCCACGTAGGGTGTAAGCAATCCCGTGTTGTTTCCTCTGGCAGCCCTCTTTGGGGGCTGTCAGCAGGGCTCCCCGATAAGTATCTCAACAACAGTCTTCCTGTATGATTCTGACCTAATACGTGATCAGCTGTCTGTTTCTCTCCACAGCAAAGCGTTTGGAAAATGACACAGCCTGAAGAAAAACGGGAATTCAAAATCTGGCTCCAGATTTCCTTGTGAACCAGTCTGCTCCTCCGCATCTCTAGAAAGGGACAGGTAGGCTGCTGCAAGAGTGCTCTGCAAGCCCCTGCTCAGCGAGTCCCACCATTAGCCAGTCTCTGGACTCCGCAGCAGGCAGTGACTCCTGCCGAGTTCCTGCAAGTTTTTTGCGTGCAACGCTTCTCCCTTGCAAAGTGGCAACATGCTGGGACACAAAATAGAAGGTCCTGTCCTGGTGTGAGCAGTGCGCAGAACAGGAGGGGAGTTGTGACGGATAGGATCTGAGCCGTGATGGCATTGCAGGGAGCTCCTGCTGTGTTTTGCAGACAGCATGTGTATGTTTGTAGGGGATGCAGAGTAATATGCCAACACAGGTCTCTGAACAGTTCCTCACTGCATAAATTGCTCCATTCGTTTCAGCAGACGGCTCTGAGCATAACCCAGCTTCCAGACTATAGTCATCTGCCTCTGCAGCTCCTTTCCTTAATTTTACTCTCACGAAAATGTCACTGAACCCCACAGAAAAGTTGCTTGGGTGAGGACTGTGTTAAATAATCAAAAAATTTCAGGGACTGAGACCAGATAGGCATGAAAATTGTAACAGTGTCCACAGTAATCACAACTGAAGCCAGTTTTTGCCCTGTCACCTGTCTTCCTTTTCCTGATGCTGTGAGGTGGTGAGTGGCAGACCTTGTTTCCTTTCTCAGTCCCGTTCTTTTTACTGCATCTGTTATCTTTGTGTTTTGGAAAGAGCAAATAAAAACAAAGCTTTGCTTTACATTTTTGCTTGAAGATAAACTGGAACGTTTTAACAGGCTAACTTCAAATGACTGTTTACTTTTGCAGTGGTCAGGGCCAGTACTCAGGGCTACAGCTACATGGCTAAACTCCCATGCGCCTTTTTAAGAATTTAGGGGCTGATGTTTTGGAAAGTGTGGGAAGGATGGTGTTGTGGGAAGGATAGTCTTGGTGCAAAGCAGTGGGTATGCTGCCCACTTTGCCTGAGAGAACTGCAACACTGAAAACACAAAGTGATGTAGGTCAGTCTTAGGGAAATAACAGAGCACAATCCCTGAATTACAGTGATGTACACAGATATGTGAAGAGGGTTTTCCTTTCTCTCTTTCTTTTTCTTTTCTTTCCTTTTTTTTTTTTTTTTTATGGGTTAACTTTTCTCCACCTCATTTCTCTTTTTTTTTCTTTTTTTTCCTTTTTTTTTTTTTTTTTAATGGATAAACTTTCACTACCTGCTAAATTTAGACTGTGAAACTAATTTCTGTGAAGCTAGAGTTGAACCACACCCTTCAAATGTGAAAGGCTGGTGTATTAAACTATTGTGCTACCCAGAGGACTCAGTCAAATGAGGACAAGTTTGCAGGCAGGTGCAATTTCCTTTTAGAAAATTGATAGATAGTGCTTCTGCATTCTGTAATGTGTTGGTTTTAGTCCCTACAAAATACAGCTTGCATTCTGTTATAACTAGTAACAAATCACGCATCTGGAACAAAGAAGAATGTAGCTGAGCAATATATTACGTTTAACTGCAATCTGGTTCAGATCCCCTGGTTCCTTTCAATTTAAACCGTGCAGCAAATGTACTCCCAGTCTTCATTTTTATCGCTTGTTGTAGCATTTAACAAAGGTCATCGTGACCCAGAGGAAGCTTAAGAGGAAAGTGTTGTGGTGGATCTTGGAAATGGAGTTTGACTGTGATGACGGTGGGCATGAAGCCAAGCCCAGCTCTCCTGCGTGTCTTTCCTTTGCACTCTTTATTTTTCTTTATGCTGGGCTGGATTCAATCATGCAGCCACATCTATGGATGAGGCAGAAATCTGTAATAATTAGTACATCTCTCTTTGCTGATGGCTTTTTTCAAAAGAATACTTTTAAATTGTTTACTTTTTCTGTGGTTGGATTGTTGAATTAATAACAAAAATGTAGCCACTGTTGAAAACAGTCTTCCAGTGAATGCCTGAACATTTAATTCTGTTCTCAGTAACCATCATCTTGTCAAATCTGGTGACAATCTTTTTCTTAATTGGGATTTACCTGCTCAGGTCACTAGATTCAACACCTTTTTGCCCATTTTTTTCATTTATCGTTTTATCATTTTAGATTTTGCCTCCTTAAAGGATGGATGATTAGGCTGGTGTAAAAATCTCTGGAATGTGACATAAATGCTGGTATGAACTAGTATTCACTTAACAACTTTATAGTGTTTCTGTTTTATGAAGTTAGTAATTTTTTAACAACTAAAGCATTTCAAAACCTGTAAAAACTAGTAAGATACGAATCAGTAGAACTCCATTAGATGTCCTGATGGTAGTGTATTTCATGGTTCAAAAGTGCCAAAGCTATCCTGGTTTATTTTTCTTATTAAAAATTATTAAAATTTATTTCACAGACATTTGTGATATGCAACAATATAGAATTCGTAAGGTAGGAGTGTATGTATCTAGCCAGATTTGTAGCTGCTAGGGTTTCTAGGTACAAAGCACTCAGGAGGTCCATTTCTAAAAGATTCTTGTAGCTTGGGTGTATCACACAGTTTAAAAAAGTTTTTTCCAAGCTCTTTATTAAAGGGCAGTCCATGTCTTGCATGTTTTTTTCAAATGCGGAGGTTCTCCTGGCACCACAACACACCCTGTTTATCAAGTTGTTTGTGCTCAGATCTTACTAATTTATGGATTACCATACTGTTGCATTGATTACCATTCCTCTTTCCTCCAGGCAAGAAATAACCTGTAGTGCCTGAGAAGTATGTGTTCAAGAACATGGCACACGTTACTTATGTCGTGTCCAGTGAAAAATGTTCACATTTTTGAAATATAACCAATTTTCTGCCTTTTCTCTAGCTGCAGTCAGAGCACTGTCTCTATTCTTCTGTTGCTGTAGTGAAGAAAGGTTTGGGAGAGGGGTTGGCACTCTGATGTACTTAATACATTCAGTTTCTTGCCCTGTGTCTATCTGGTGTAAATATTCTGTATTTCTATGTTCCTTTATATTTGCAAATATATTTACAGATTACTGATTTTTTTCCCCATGAGTTCTCCTGTGCTGTAAATGATACCTGAGGCTTGACATCTATGCAGTCTCCAAAGACAGAATCTAAAAGTGAAACCTACAAGCTCAGGTGAGCTCAGCTGCTAATATGCAGAAATAAGCCGGTTTTACCATGATTTTATGAAGGTAGGAGTTACTTTTTCAAAGAGAAGTCCTTTAGTGACTCAAAGTACATAATTTTTATTCTAAATTTAAATATCCTTATTTTTGGGTTATATACAATCACAAATATAAACAATTGCTTTTGTTTTACTTCTAACTGCATCATATACCTATTATTACATATGAAATACACTTACTGCTATTACTGACATTACCTTGTAATGATGTTTCAAATTGAAGTGGTAGATATCCAGGTCTTTGTGTGGTGATATTTCTACTGCTTCACTTAGTTCTGATCATTATTACATATTCAGTGCAACAGGAGGCAAAAAGCCCTTTAAAAGCATATTAATAGCATTAAAACTTGTTACCAATGGTGTTCATAACAGCTACAGGATGTATATATCAAATGATACTAATATACTTTTCCAGTACTCTTCCCTTTCCTACCTCTTTCCTACCATTGTGATTTGTATTTGGTTACAAAAGCAACTGTTTTCTCTAATCAAAATAAGAAAATGGAGCATTCATAGTTTCAGTATGCCATGAATAATGAACAGTACATTTTCTGTGATTTGTTACATTAGTTAGATTCTGTGATAAAGTATATTACAAGTGTAGCTCTGATGTTGTCTCCAGTTAAAAAAAAATATTGTATCAGGCCCTTTATTTACTAGAATCACACTGAGTAAAAGTTTAACTATTATGTCAAGGCCATCTTCTCAGCAACACAACAGACAAAGTTAAGTGAATTAGAGAACAAAGTACAAATGTGTTTGCAACCAGCTTTTCCATAAGGTAATTTACATTTCACTATGTACTTACGGAATGCCGCTGTGACACTTGGTTGATGTATACGTGCCGAGTAGATAAGGGAGGGGGAATAATGGTGTAATATACTTCCCTCATTGATTCATGTGCCCTTCTGGACACGTTGCTGAATCTTCTATCCAAACCCAACTCATTTGTTCCCATTTCAAGTCTAATTATCCCTGTTTCAAGTAGTGCATACAATTGAAAATGTTAGAATTCCACTTATGAGTGAACTGCCTAGTGTGTTGGGCATTGTGATCATGGTAGTCAAGTTGGCCATCTCACAGAAGTCACCTCTGGTGAGCTAACAGAGTTGCTATGCAAAGAATAGACTTTAAAGAGACAAAACCTGGCCCTGTTAAAGTCAATGATGGTCTTGCTGTTGATTCTGGCTGCAGAATTTGTAAGAATTGTTTCAATATGTCCTAAGATCTGCTTTCTCAGACCGTTATGTGCAAACAGTTCCCTTCTTCAGTAGCACTGTGACCCTCGGGACTTTGGGATGAGGGTGTTCACATAGGAGACAAAAGCAGCTCATTGAAAACTCGCTTTCTGGACCATAGAAATGGACAAGTATTTCTGAGAACACAATTAAGAAGATGCATCATGTTATTTAGTGTATCTTATAATTTCTGATTAAGAATTTCAGAATTTCTCCCTAAACATGCCAATTCTTTTAACTAAGTGACATGTCACCACATTGGTTTAGAAGTAATACAGTCACATTTTATTATCTTGCATGGTTCTGTGGAACAAAACCCTTTAAAATCTTGTAGGATGATCTAAAGACTTCTTTTTTAGTTACTGCTATTATTTTAAATGCCAGAACCATCACAAAAGAATTTTAATTTTATTAAGGAAATATATTTTTAAAAAGATTAAAGCTTTGCTTCTGATTGTTAAAATGGTATTAAAACAAGGTGGAAATGTGTTTGTAGTTAACTCCCAGAGGACTCGGTGTCAAAAAAATGTTACTCTGTGTTTTCCTTTTTAGGAAGGTGGCCTCTACCAGATGTAAGCTCAGAAATGGCAATTGTCATTCACGTAAATGACTAGCAGGTTTATCTTGCCAGTCTCTG